TATAGCAAGAGTTTCAGCAATTATTCCAGCCTGGCCCAACACCACCGGATCCACACATCAGTGTTGTGTGTGGGAAGAGCTTCATTCAATCTTCTAGCCTGGCCCTGCACCAGCGCATCCACATGGGAGAAGCCATATCAGTCCTCTGAGCAGGGGAAGAAATTTGCCCAGTATTCTGGCCTGGCCACACACGGGCGCATGCATACAAGGGAGAAGCCATATCAGTGCTCTGAGTGTGGGAAGAGCTTCACCACTTCCTCCCACCTGGCGAGGCACCAATGCATCCACACCCGGGAGAAGCCTTATCATTGTTCTGAGTGTGGGAAGAGCTTCACCAGTTCTTCCTGCCTGGCCCAGCACCAGCGCATCCACACGGGAGAAGCAACATCAGTGCTCTGTGTGGGAAGAGCTTCACCCGATCCTCCTACTTGGCCATGCACCAGTGCAACCACACGGGGGAGTAGCCACATCAGTGCTCTGAGTGTGGGAAGAGGTTCAGCCGATCTTCCAGCCTGGCCAGACACCACTGCATCCACACAGGGGAGAAGCCACATGAGTCCTCTGGGTGTGAGAAGAGCTTCCATGACCCCTGCACCCTGGCCAAACACCAGTGCAACTGCACCTGAGATCATCCATAATTCTGCCTGCAGTGCAGGGAGACCTTAGGAATGCCTACCTGCTCAACTTCCACCAGTGGCTGCATTCAGCCAAGCAGCTTCATGCTGCTAGAGTGTCAGAGTAGTTCACACAGCCTTTGGCCTTGGTGACTGGTCACCAGAGTTTGATTGGGGAAGGGACTAAGATGAAAATCCTCCAGCAGAGGCCAGCCCAGACACTGAGGGAACCTGTGAGGAGACCATCTCTAGAAGCAGGAGGTGCTCCCGGGGCAAAAGAAGCGCCTTCCCCCTGTGCCTGTCTCCTGTGCCCCTCAGGATCTGCAAGGAGCTGCTGCTGCCAGCCGCTGAGCCCAGTTTGGCAGGTTCTGCTTTTCAGCCTCTCTCCAGAGCTCTGCAACCGTGGGTGCCTGCTGACCTCCTGCCTTTCACAACACTTTTAATGTGGTCTGTGCTCAGAAAGTGCCAGCACTGAACACACTATGCCTGTGGCTGGGCTCTGGAGTTGTGAGATGTGAATTGACCAGGGCCCAGAAACCTTTTCAAGGCAGATCTCCCTGTCAGTTCCCAGCCCTTTCCCTTTCTGAGGATTCACCGCAGTCCAGGCATTGTTGCAAAAACTTGGCCTCAAAGCCCCACTTCTGTGTACTGCTGTGCAGCAAGGTCCCTGCCCTGTGGAAGAAGCCTGTGGCCAGGGGCCAGTAGAGTGTCTTTTCTGGGGGAAGGAGGGGCAGCCTGTGGCAGGTCCTGCCTCTCCTGGGGAAGGGCACACTCTCCTGGGGAAGGGCACAGAGAGTATGAGGACATTCTTTGGGTGAAATGCAGGATGTTGTTATGTTTGGGGAATGTTCTCTGATCGCTAGTGTCCCAATACATTGTCTCTCTTGTAGAGGAACTTGCTTTGACTTCTCTTGTACTTCAGAGAAAATACAAGCCACCGGACATCTTGGGTATAAGACCCTGGGATCCTGCTCCAGCTCTGCAGCACCGACCCCTTCCCCCCCCCCCCACAGTCTTGGGTGGGAGCAAGGAGATGGGTCTCTCTGGGGCACTGGGCCAGCTGAAAAGGTAGACTGGGAGATGTACTTAGTTTGTGGGTGCAACACTTAGCTCCTCATCAGACCAGGAGCCACCCCTCACTAGAGAGAGACAGGACTAGATCACCAAAGACGAATATACCTCTTCTGCTCGTGCTTGTAGGGAGGCAGTTAGACGGGCCAAAGCTGCCATGGAGCTGAGGATGGCAACCCAAGTAAAAGACAACAAGAAATTGTTTTTTAGATATATTGGGAGTAAAAGGAAGGCCCAGGGAGGAATAGGACCCCTGCTAAATGGGCAGAAACAATTGGTGACGGACAGGGGGGACGAGGCTGAACTCCTCAACGAGTTCTTTGCCTCAGTGTTCCTAAGCAAGGAAGTCTCTCACAGGGGTTGTAGAGAGGCAGCAGCAAGGTGCCAGACTTCCATGCGTAGACCCTGAGATGGTGCAGAGTCCCTTGGAAGAACTGGATGCCTTTAAGTCGGCAGGCCCGGATGAGCTCCATCCGAGGGTACTGAAGGCACTGGCTGACATCATTGCAGAGCCACTGGCGGGAATATTTGAAAGCTCGTGGCGCATGGGCCAAGTCCCGGAGGACTGGAAAAGGGCCAATGTGGTCCCCATTTTCAAAAAGGGGAGGAAGGAGGACCCGGGCAACTATAGGCCAGTCAGTCTCACCTCCATCCTTGCCAAAATCTTTGAAAAAATTATCAAGACTCACATTTGCAAGAGACCAGCAGGACAAATTATGCTGAGGGGAAACCAGCACAGGTTCGTGGCAGG